TACTTGGAGTCTCTGTCTCCCAGGCTGGAGTGCAGTGGCCCACTCATGGCCACCCCAGCCTCGACTGACTGAGCTCGGGTGATCCTTCCTCCTCAGCCTTCCAAGTAGCTGGAACTATAGACATGCGCTGCCACGCACGGCTAATTTTTTAAAAAAAATTTATTTATTGTAGAGACGAGGTTTCACCAAATTGCCCAGGCTGGTCTCGAACCCCTGGACTCAGGCAGTCCTCTCGCTTCAGCCTCTGAAAGTGCTGGGATTACAGGCGTGAGCCACCGCACCTGGCCTCACTCATAGGAAATTATAAGTAAATATAATGTGTATGCAGCACCTGGCACATATAAAATATGATATTCAGTGGCAGGGCAGAATTAGAACTGCAGGTGACTTTTTTATTTTTGAAATTATTGGTCGTTGTTAAATTTACATAACACACAAGTATATAAAGTCGGTGGCTTATGTGTAAAATCATTTGGTGATTTATTTTGCATGAACTTTTTTTTTTTTTTTTTTTTTTTGAGTCGGAGTCTCACTCCGTCGCCCAGGCTGGAATGCAGTGGTGCAGTAACACGCCCACGGCCACCCCAGCTCCCAATCCGCTGGGCTCTGGCGATCCCTCCGCCCCAGCCCTCCAAGCGGCGGGAACTACAGGCGCGCGCCACCACGCCCGACCATTTATTTTTGGATTTATCGAAGAGACGAGGTCTCGCCAAGTCGCCCGGGTTGCTCTCGATCCCGCGGGCTCAGGCAATTCACTCGCTTCGGCCTCCCAAAGTGCTGGGGTTACAGGCTGAGCCACCGAGCCCGGCCTGCATGAATTTTCAAAAAACGACTTATTGCTTGAGACTCTCGGCTTCTATCCCAAACTGAGTCATAGCAGAGCTTGATTTATTTTTACTTCCCACTCCCGCTGGTTTCTTTCTGAGGATCCTTCCGCTAGCAAGAAATTAGGCTGTTGGAAAATCAGTGAAGAAACTTCGAAGTTCCGGCTGGAAGCAAAACCAGGTCTGCCGGCATCTCTTGCAGACTGCTGTCACTCCCACGGTGGAACACGCCAGGGGGCGGGGCGCGAGGAGTTCTGGATGTCTGCGGAACGAGGCGCTCCGGTCGGGACTCAACAGAGGCCGGAGAGAGGCGGGGCTCACAACCCCGTGCGGGGACCGGAGCGAAGGCGAGCCGTGTTCTGGCAGGCTGTGATTGGGCGAGGCGACGAGTGACGTAATAGCCGCGCGCTCACTGCTTCAGACGGTCGCAGCCGCGTTTGCGCAGTGGAAGTTGGTTACTGCTGCGGCCGCCTGGAATTGTGGGGGTTGTGTCTGCCCCCTCGGCTGCCGGAAGCCGAAGGTAGGGGCGGTGAGGGCCGTTAGGCCCTGGAGCTGGGTGGGGGCGTCCGGTCCTCCCCTCGCCAGCGGCCTCGGTCTTCCCAGCAATGTTCTGGGGTCCCCGCACATCCCAGTAGTGTCTCCCAAGTGGGCCCAGGGCTCTCCGCCTTCTCTGCTTCTTCCACTCAAAACGTCTGCGTCAGTCCCTCTTTCGTTGGCAGGAGATGAGGCAGTGGGAATTCAAGCCTGGCATTGACTCCGCACCCACTTTAGTTTCCTTCCCTGTTCCCTTCTCCCGGCCTCAGTTTCCTTATTTGTCTGAAGAAGGGGTGGATGAGCTGTTGGTCTCCGAGATCCCTGCTCCTTCACCATATGGAATTGCGCCCAATCTCTTAGTATTTCCAACCTCCCATCGCGTTTTCCTTTGTCCTGGGGGTTGGAACACTTGCCTTTAAAGTAGAGGTTACAGACTTTGGTGTGTGTCAAATCACCCAGGGAATTTTTGCATAATCCTTGGACTTCAGCCCCAGGAATACCGTGGTGCCTAGGCCAACTGCAAACCCCCCCTCCCCCCACCAGGTGGGTCTCATTCGGATGGTTTTGGACTCCTGGCTTTAAGAATCTGTTTCAGAATTCGGGAGAGAATGATTTATGAAACTCCGGAATGGGGTTCCTGGTGGGAAAAGCCAGTAATCAGGAAATGCCTAAGGCTTGTGAGACCAGTGGAGGCTTCCTTTTCACTATAGGAGTTAGAGGGCTGTTTGGTGCCTTTAAAAACATATATATTGACTACCCGTAGGTAAGATTGGGTAGTCATTTCTAATATTTAAATGCCTCACTTGGATTAAAGCCCAATTGGCTTTCCCACTTCAGTAAACCCGAATGAAACCACAAAATGCTTTGAGGGATGGAGGGGGTTAGACTAACCTAGACTAGGCAGACAGGAGGAAAATGAATCCTCCATATTAGCTAAGGGAAGTGGATGTGTTTATAAGCACAGTGTTTATTTCGACAGTGTGGAAGATGTTTTGTGTGTGTTTGTCTTTTTGCCACTCACCCACCCAAACATTTTTCTTTTCTGTTAAAAGTATAACCAGCTTTGAGGATTGGATAGGATTTTGATGGGAACCAGGTTGTAACGATGTTGGAATTGATATTTGTATAACATAGGTCAGAATTTGGTCTGTGATTTCATTTGAGAACATGGCCCTTGAGAATTTGAGATGGTGTTACCACACCCGATTTATTTCAGCCTTTCAGATGGTAGTGAATTTAATCTGCTAATTAATACATGTGCTGTTCTGATGAAATTGGCAATAGAAAAGACTTATTGCCTCCATTTTACAGCTGATGGAAATGGGGAATATGTTAGGGATGTGGCAGCCCAGGAATAAAAATTTGTCTGGTACTTTGATTCCTACTTTCTTCTCCTTCCCTGCTGTTTTCTGAAGGCCAGTTATTTCTTGCTTTTCGATAGAGGCCAACTTTGAACCCTGGTGTGTTTCACTGGTGGAAAAAGAGGCTAATGAAGTAAAAATGAAAAGTAACAAAATGGATTTTAACATAACAAACATGACAGAACTTAATCTTTCAATGAATGTTGTCCTTCTGTAGGATGGTGTGTACAGGTGTGGGCAGTGGGGATTGAGGGTGGCATCACCTATATAATATGGCCATTATCCAAAGCAATTTTGAAAATTCACCTTTGGAGTATTTTTCAGAGACGTTTTTGTGTTTTTTGTTTTGTTTTAGTTGGAGTTCTCACCCTGTCGCCCAGGCCGGAGTGCAGTGGCATACTCACAGCCACCGCAGCCTCAACCTGCTGGGCTCAGGTGATCCTTCAACCTCAGCCTTCCAAATAGCTGGAACTACAGGCATGTGCCACTATGTCCGGCAATTTTTTGATTTATTGTAGAGATGAGTTCTCACCAAGTTGCCCAGGCTGGTCTCGAACCCGTGGGCTCAGGCAGTCTCACCCCGGCCTCCTGAAGTGCTGGATTATAGGCACGAGCCACCGCGCCTAGCACAGAGACCTTTTTGAACCATGTGAGAGATCAGTATTATTAATACATGATACCATACTATATTTTTTTTAACCCCAAATGGCATATTAAGCAACCTCAGCACCTGACTTGTCTTCAAGTTAACAATTCTTTTAAAGTGGACATAATGAATTTTTGGAGTGTGGTGAGCATAAATTTTGATTCAGAGTCTACCACAAAGTAGCCATATGACCTTGGACAAGTAACTTTACTTCTAAGGCTCAATTTTACCCTGAATAAAAGTAGGAATAAGACTTTGAAGGGTAATTAAAGTGAGGTATTACACATAAAAGCTCTTGGGACATAGGATTGCAAGAGGTGTTTTTGAGGGTTTGTTATCATACTCAGAGAATGAAGATTTGCTATTAATGAGAATATCCAAAAGAACATGACAGTCTCTAAAAGGCAGTTGTACCTTTTCCCAAATAGGTGGATGCCTTCCAGTTCTCTTTTTCATATGTTTGTGGATTCATACTCTGGCATGCTCATCCTGCCTCCTGTCTTTTTCTTCACTTTCTATCCTACGTGAAGCTCTGCTGCAGGGGCGGTGTGCCAGTTTCTTGGAATAAGCCTCTTTTTATGAGAGCTAATCTGAACATTCTTAAAACGCTAGCCCCTTGGTTGCGTATTCTTGGGGATTTTTCTCTGGGTCTCCAGCTGGTGCTTGGATCACGCTCTGTAGCACAGACATCTCTAACTCCTGGATTTGGTGTCAGTTTGGAGATTCATCCTTGTGGAACTAATCTTTTATGTTTCTTAGCAAGGATGAATACTTTGTCCTTCTCTGAGTTGGACAAACTGCAAGCCTTATTCTTCTACAGCAGAAAACTTTGTATTTTAATTATGTGTTGTCTAAAGACCGACTATTCTGCCCTTTTCTTCAATTGCGTTCACCAAGGATTTCACTACTGAGCAGGGAAGAAGGAGAATAACCTGCTGCCATTTAGGTGTGGCTTTGGATAACCCTGATTCCTAGCATCAGCATTAACTGAGTTTGTCTTTGGGACAAAAACCTTACAAAAGATTCAAGCTGTTCAGATACAGGTGGAGAATCTCGTGGAATTTTTCTGACTTGTGAGAAGTTTATACCTGGCACTCTCACTTGTGCGAATGTCTACCCTGGAGACAGTGAGAATTCAGTAGCAACAAAACTATGTTCAGTTCCTTCAGGTACTAGCAGGCAACTACAAGACGAGGATATGGTTGCACTAGCTGTCCATGTCTGCCTTCTTCCTCTGTATCTGATACCTCCTTTGGTTTTGAGAAGGAAGTGGCATGTGAATGCATGAGTAATATTCTTTCGTCAAGGTGGAGGTCAGAGGCAGAGAGCTCTGAGCATAGGACTGGGCAAGTGGAAAATGCCAGTCTTGTTTCGTAGTGTCACCTCATGGGTATGTCTTCATTGATATCTTCCGTGAGAAGGGTGAATAGCTATCCTAGTGAGCCCAGGACAGAGGGATTTCCCAGATGTGGAACTTTCAATAGCAGAACCATTGAAAGTTTTGCCATTGAAAGTCCAGGGCAAACCAGGACAAATTGGTCTCCCTACCCATGACCATTTTGCAAATTAATGAACATGCTGTTTCTAGGGTTCATCTGAGGATCAACTCTTTGGAGTCATCTAATTAAGTCTTTTTCAACCTCTGGTTCATTATCATGTTTTGAGACTTTTCTCCCCTAATTGTTCACTCTCCCATGGAATGTTAAGACCATAGATGTACTGTGTATCTGTTTTGGTGTTGTGGCCCTTTGGATGACCACAAACCATTGCAATATGTAAGATTCTTCTCCTCCAAGAATCAATTTTTACCCCTTTTGGGGTGATATTGCATCTGTTGAGATTTGGACCTTGATGACTATATTAAAGAAAGAATTTGGGGTAAGATCTGAGAGAGATCTAGATGACTTTTTCTATCGAGAAGAAACAGCTAATCCAAAAAAAAAAAAACCAAAAAACACTAGGCGCAGTGGCTCACACCTGTCATACCAGCACTTTTGGAGGCAGAGGTGAGAGGATTAACTGAGCTCAGGGATTTGAGACCAGCCTGAGCAACATGGTGAGACCTTGTCTCTACAATAAATACAAAAATCAGCTGGGCATGGTGGCGCATGTCTGTGGTAGACTAAGGCGGAAGGATTGCCTGAGCCCAGGATGTCAAGTCTGCGGTGACCGTGAGTGTGCCACTGTACTCCAGCCTGGGTGACAGAGTGAGACTCCAACTTAAAATAAAAAAAGAAACAGCTGTTACCAAAAACTTTATCAGTACCTCAAACACCAAATCAGTAAAAGCAGAGGGATATTGTCTCACCCAACACTTACATCAACTGTATAAGATGGTTGGTATTTTCCTCCATCTTACAGATGAAGAAACAGGTTCAATGAGGTTAACTGATTTGATCAAAATTGAAAAGTTTGTTGCAGCCAGGATTTAAATGCAGCTCTGACTCCATAGTTCTTTCCACTGCACTGTGCTGCCCCTCCATCCTCACCCCCTGAGTCTGGTCATTAGCAGAACATTTAACTTACTTTTCTCAAGGCCCTGCTAGTTGTCAGGCCCTATGGAAGATGTTTGGGACACTGAAATCAAAGAGTTCCTGCTGTTGGGGAGCTCACTGAGTTTTTCAAGGGTGGTGATGCCTTAGGGATAGTGCCCTTGACACCTCCTGTTTATGTCCCTTGTCAGATGGTTGGCTGTAACTAAGGGCTGGCTGTCATGGAAAGAAGTATGCTGCTTGGCTTTAAGATATTCGAAGCTATGAATTTGTCTCTATTAGTTCAGTTTTCCAACCAGCTGAGCGGTTTCTAATCACTGAGCATGTTGCCTACAGGGTATAACCAAAGGTGTGGCTGGCCTGGTAAACTCTTTAGCCATTAGATGTTTGTGAGTACAAGTATTAGTAAGAATGACATTTCTGCTTTGCTTATTGATACTCCTTATAATTCAGAACAGAAGTTGTTTGTCCCTTTCTGAAGTTATTCTAGATTGTCTGCCTCAAAGCCTAACGCTGTTAAGAGAGTTGGAGAAGAAATGGAATGAGTGTGGAGGTATAGGTGAGAAAGATGATTTCTACCTGAACTCCTCCAAAGAGGCTGGAATTGAGCTTCTTCTTTTCTTTTTTTTGAGTTGGAGTCTCACTCTGTCGCCCAGACTGGAGTGCAGTGGCCGCTCCCGGCCACCGCACCCTCCACCTGCTGGGCTCTGGCGATCCTTCCACCTCAGCCTTCCGAGGAGCTGGAACTACAGGCATGCGCCACCACGCCCGGCTGATTTTTAAAAATTTATTGTAGAGATGAGGTCTCGCCTGCCCAGACGGGTCTCGAACCCGCAGGCTCAGGCAATCCACTCATCTCAGCCTCCCAAAGGCGCGGGATTACAGGCTGAGCCACTGAGCCCGGTTGAGCTTATTCTTTATTGCTTTGATTTTCTTCCAAACCTTGGATTTCTGAGTTATTCTAGTTCTTTGGTGTCTCCTGGGCCTTCCATTTTCACAGCTGCACAGCTGAGTCTGCTATGTTGGCCATGGTGTTCCTGGACTGGACATTGACACCTTTGAGTAGGGTCTGATGTTTGACCCATGTCATATTTTACATCCAAAGAGAAATGGGGAGGGGTATATTTTTGAAGTTGCTCACTAGCTGTGTTGTGACTGAGGAAGTTCTATTTTTTTTTTTTTTTGAGTTGGAGTCTCACTGTGTCGCCCTGACTGGAGTGTAGTGGCACATTCCCGGCCACTGCAGCCTTGACCTGCTTGTCTCCGGCGATCCATCCGCCTCAGCCTTCCAAGTAGCCGGAACTATAGGCGTGTGCTACCATGCCTGGCTAGTTTTTGATTTATTGTAGAGACGAGGTCTCATCAAGTTGCCTGGGTGGGTCTTGAACTCGTGGGCTCAGGCAATTCACTCGCCTTGGCCTTCTAAAGTGCTAGGATTACAGGCTGAGCCACTGAACCCACCTGAGGAAGTTCTTGATTATACCTTTTTTTTTGAATAGGAGTCTCATTCTGTCACCCAGGCTGAAGTGCAGTGGCACGCTCACAGCCACTGCAGCCTCTGCCTGCTGGGCTCAGGTGATTCTTCTGCCTCAGCCTTTCAAGTAGCTGGAACTGCAGGCATGTGCCACCTGCCTGGTCAATTTTTTGATTTATTGTAGAAATGAGGTCTTGCCAAGTTGCCTAGGCTGGTCTTGAACTCCTGGGCTCAGTCAATCCTCTCACCTTGGCCTCCCAAAATACTAGGATTATAGGCGTGAGCCACCACACCTGGCCAGTTATATCTTTTAATCGCCACTTGTTATCATCCCAGGCAGAGGAATATCACAACAGTCAGTCAGTGAACCAGTCTCTACATCTAGCCACTTCCCTCCTGCAAGTAGTTTGTCCCTTCTGACTTATGAGTAGAAAGAATTCTAGAAAGTGGAAGATGAATCTGAGCTGCATCCTAAGGATCTGGTGAGGAAAGCTGATACCAGTGAACTTTTAAGTGTACATTTCTTTGCCCCGA